ACAAGCTTTCTCCAAAAAGAATGCTATAATAATTCCACCCAGACATGAATAGTCCAAAAAGAAGCCAGCCATTAGCATTTCATACTATTCTTTATCATGCATTGTTATTCTCTAACATGCACTCTTAAAGGAGGGGTTTGTAGCACTGTTTCAAGAGAACATGGAGTCTTAGGAGGCTAAAAAAGTCTTAATTACATGATTGGTGGCTCACCAAAGTTCAACCCTACACAACAAAATTAATTTATTAACATTTAATGTTTCTTTGAGGCATAAATTTAATCTAGATTCCATTAATGATTAGTAGTCCACCAAAGTTCAAGCCTACACAACAAAATCAATTTCTTAATATTTAATTACTCTCTTTAACTTCATTACTTTAAATACATTTTCTCAGGGAGAGGGAATAATTTTTTGAAAGAGTGAGAAACATGGTTAGAGTGATTTTTTTGCTGCAAAATGTTTATTCTTTTGTATAAAGTTCTGATATACCTGCCAGGCATTGCTGGCTCATGGCTGTAATCCTAGCTACTCAGGAGGCTGAGAAATGAGGATCATGTTTTGAAGCCAGCTTGGGCAAGAAAGTCCGTGAGACTCTTACTTCCTATTAACCACACACACACATACACAGAAGTGCATAGTGCTGAGCAAAAATGCTCAGGGACAGCATCCAGGCCCTGTGTTCAAGCCACTAAAAAAAGTTCTGCTATACCTGGCATGGATTGTTTTTTGCAGAAGTCTCTCCAGAGTTAGATACAATTTAAGAGTTTGACTAACCTAGGGAGAAAAAGAGGAAAGAAGACAGGAAAGAGCCACTGGTGAAGGAGATGGAAAAGAAAAATGCTTTGTGTGTTGTTTATTTTTTCAACAATATTCCTGTAGGATAAGCTTTAAAAGGAGGATGCAGGACTGGAGGTGTGGCTCAAGTAATAAAGTGCCAGCCAGGAGCAAGAAAGCTTCTTAAAGCTGAAGGACCTGAGTTCAAGACCCAGTACAGCACAAAAGAAAAAAAGAAGGAAAGAAAACAGAAAAACATACATAATTTTTTGGTGGGGAGGGGAGGTCCAGTCGTGGGGCCTGAACTCTGGGCCTGGGTGCTGTCCCTCAGCTCTTCAGCTCAAAGCTAGCGCTCTACCACTTGAGCCACAGTACCACTTCTGGCTTTTTTCTTTTTGCTTATGTGGTGCTGAGGAATCGAACCCAGGGCTTCATGCATACAAGGCAAGAGTGCTCTGCCACTGAGCCACCTTCTCAGTCCCAACATACATAATTTTTAAAAAAGATACAAAGATACTTCTTTGGAACCCTATTCTTGAAAGGTTATAGAGAGGGTCGAGAAGGAAGAAAAATGTCTACATGTAGCACAGCATGCACTAGTCTGCATGTTCAACAAATGGAACATCTATTAGCTGTAATTTTTCTTTTTTTCTCTTTCCTCTATCAATGATTCCCTTCAATGGTGAGATAAAGTTGCTAGTATACAACAACCTTAGATCAAATAATATTTCTAATAACGTTTTCTAGTATTATTTATCTCAGTTGGACCATTGCAATGCTTGTTACTTTCTAATAACACTTTTTTTAAATCAATGAATTATAGTGTTAAAAACATCTTAGGGCCAGCTCACACCTGTAATCCTAGCTACTCAGAGAGGCTGAGATCTGAAGATTGCAGAATAAGAAGACATCAGAATAAGAAGTTAGATGCTGGAAACTCACATATAATTCTAACTACTCAAGAGGCTGAGATCTGCAGATTTGTGGTTCAAGGCCAGCCCAGGCAGAAAAGTCCATGAGACTCTTATCTACAAGTAATTAACAAAAAGCTAGAAGTGGACTTGTGGCTCAAGTGGTGGAGTGCTAGTCTTTGGCAAAAAAAAGCTCAGTGACAGCTCCCAGGCCCTATTTTCAAGCCCCAGGACTGGCATAAAAATAAACAAAAAGTAACTTTCTTCCTCTGAGATGAGGAAGAGGAGGAAGTGGAGCATGATGATGATGATGATAATGATGATCAGGGACTGGAGCCTTGTACTCCTGCTTGACTTTTTCACTCCAGACTGGCCCTTTTACCACTTGAGCCACAGTTCTACCCCTGGATTTTTTGGTGGTTCATTGGAGATAAGAATCTCATGGACTTCCTTATCCAGGCTGCCTTTGAATCTTGATCCTCAGATCTCAGCCTCCTGAGTAGCAATTATTACAGGTTTTACATGGAAATTTGCATTGCTGGGAGTGTTTTGCACCCCAGGTAACACAGTGATACATTTGTCAGGTTTTTAACTAAATAATTGAAAGCTGCTACATGTTCAAGCATTGTTTCCTAAGACTTATTTTTTAATTAGAAATTATCTTCAGAGCCAGGCGCTGGTGGCTCACGCCTGTAATCCTAACTACTCAGGAGGCTGACATCTGAGGATCGCGGTTCAAAGCCAGCCCGGGCAGGAGAGACCGTGAGACTCCTATCTCCAGTAAACCACCAGAAAACCGGAAGTGGCGCTGTAGCTCAAGTGGTAGAGTGCTCGCCTTGAGCTGAAGAGCTGAGTGACAGTGCCCAGGCCCAGAG